CCCAGTTTTTTTTATATTTACTTTTTCTGTTGAAGAAGCTAATCCGGTAGCGCTATAGAAGAATGCTTGTATTTTTCCTCAATAAAGAAAATAATTATATTCAAAAAAAAGAGGAAAAAAAAAATCTATGCAACTAAAATCTAATTCTTCCATTTGACAGAAAGGACAATTTTATGTCCCTTTTAGCTATTCATTTCAAGACTTGAGCGTGTTTCAGCATTTGGACCTTATTTAAAGGAGCAACAAGGAGAATCCTAATTGTAACCATTGGTAAAGGTTGTAGTGTTGTTACATTGAAATTGAGGTGGTTCACGCTTAACGGTAATTAGATCAATAGGGACTGGGGTATTAGAGGATTAACTGTACACATTTGTTTGCATAACTAGAGAAAGGATATGTAGATGACGGCATGGATGAATTCTAATAGAGGTGTACAGTTAAATCCCTAAATGCCGTCCCTTTTTCCCAACTGTCCTGAACCCCCTTAATTTCCACTGACAAGCTCAGGGAAGAATTATAATACTTGCATGCAGGCAAAGAAATCAAATTTGAAGAATTTAAAATGAAGAACTTGAAAATTAATGAGACTTAAAATTAAGAAAACATTGAGCTTATGGATTTTTGAGACAACAAGTTGTTATATGCTTTGAGTTTGGAATATACTTACCTTTGGTGGCTCTGGGTTTGGCCAGTTAACTTTGAAACAATCCTTAGGTTTCTGGATATGCAATAGGTGAATATCTAGTGGAGATTTGTATTGTTAGCAAGGAGTTGATTAAAGTTCAAATGTGTAATGAATGAATTTTTAGACGTGGTGTTTTGTAGGATTAGTTGGATTAGTTAACATTGGTAATCAGTTAGTTTGTTAAGCCCTCAATTAGTATAAATGAAGAAGCATCAGAAGATGTTGGGAAGCATATCCAAAATGAAGTTGAAGTACAGGAGTCAAATGTAATCCACTCTCTATCAAGATCCTGTGTCTGTGAAAGACTGAGAAATGAGAAGTCACCGGACATTGAGGATGATACCATAGAAAAGTATGTATCACATAAATTTGAATCAGGGAAATGATGGCTTGTCTGGTGCCTGGTTATCCAAATGATGGAGACTTTAGTGTTAGTTTTTCTTTTTACCTGGCAGTGTTTCCCAACCAACTTAAGTAATTGGCCTTTTGGCTTGTTGAAGTTGTTTAGTTAATGGCTGTTTCAAGGGATTGCCCTTTACTGATGATCTAAGTCTTGTCCCAACGTTGTAATTTTATTTGCTCTTGTTCTCATAGACAAGTCATATATATATATATATATAATGCGGAGATTATTTTTCCTTAGAAGAAAACCGAGAGAACAGCTGGCAACACATGAATCTGCCCCCAGGCTTTTTGGCTACTCTAAATCATAAAGAGAAAAGACGTAATGAGTAATTACATTTTTGAATCTGAACCATGAATTGAGAAAGGAGATAGAGATTGACATGACAAGTAATTTATTTATTAGGTGACTGACGCTGAATTTTGCTGCTGGACCATTCATGTGTTATTTTTCAGGTTTTTTCGGAGAAGTATTCCGAGGCATATGGAATGGGACAGATGTTGCCATAAAGGTTTTTCTGGAGCAAGATTTGACTACTGAAAACATGGAAGATTTCTGCAATGAGATAACGATTCTCAGGTATCTTGTTGCTCAAAATATCACTTGACATCATTTTTTTTTTCTGCGTAACATTTTCTAACTACCATGCTCTGTTCTTTTGTATGTGTATTTGTCTTTGTCCAGCCGGCTTCGACATCCTAACGGTACGCATGAACATGTACTTGCTATTCCTATATAGTTGAAACGTTATTTCATGTACATGTTCTCTTTGAGTCCAACAGTTATTTATTGCAAGATCATATTTTATGCAGTTATTTTATTTCTTGGTGCATGCACAAAGCCTCCGCGTTTGTCAATGGTTACTGAGTATATGGAGATGGGATCTTTGTATTACTTGATCCATTCGAGCGGTCAAAAGAAGAAGCTTAGTTGGCGGAGAAGACTGAAGATGTTGCGGGATATATGCAGGTAAGTTTTCTGCCAATCTGTAACTTTCAAAATCATTTCATTTTCATTGGAATTCATGCTTAACTAATGTTCCATGCTGTGGCTTTTGCATTTGTTGTCGCCCAATAACAAATCACTAGCTATCAGTTAATTGGTGGTGTATTTTTTTGTGATTGTATTATTGGACTTTATTTTACGTAATTCTCCCTAGGCTTTAAACTTGCAACTTTTATTCGAAAATAAATAAATAAATAAATAACAAATCACTAGAAGATTTCCTTGCCCATTTATTTTCACCTGGGGAATTTATTTTATAGGGTTATAATCTTTTTCCATAGACGTTTGTCCTGGATAATAGAAATGTCATTTTCAAGTCTTGCAGAGTTTTGAAAAGGGTAAAAAGCTTTTGTATCTTTTTTACCAGGTTCTGTAATTATAACATGACTAGTCCCCCCCCCCCCCCAAAAAAAAAAGAAAAAACCCGGGGGGGGGGTAAGACAAGCGTATGGTTTTCAATTAAATTATAGACCTGTCATGTGATTTTTTCAGAAAATTACACGATTATCGTATTCTAATCGGAAATCTTGATAGCAAAGATATAAAATGCTTTGGTTAAGTCTAGCTCTTTTGGCTTTGGTAAAAAAAAAAAAAAAAAAAAATCTCTAGTTCTTTTAATGTTGGTCCAAAAAGTGTAGTTCTTTTTAATTAGTTGCAGGCTGACGATGAAATGATTACATATGATCTATTACTTTACATTTACAAGAACATCCTGTTGGCGTAGGGGGTTGATGTGCATACATCGTATGAAGATAGTTCACCGTGACCTGAAAAGTGCAAATTGTCTTGTGAATAAGCATTGGACTGTGAAGATCTGTGATTTTGGGCTTTCAAGAATAATGACAGATTCTCCCATGAAAGATTCTTCGTCAGCGGGGACTCCTGAATGGATGGCTCCTGAACTTATTCGAAATGAACCATTCACAGAAAAATGTGATATCTTTAGCCTGGGGGTCATAATGTGGGAGCTTTGCACTTTAGATAGGCCATGGGAAGGTGTACCACCAGAGAGGGTACACACTTTGCGGCTTTCAGTTTCTGTATTGCTCGTTGAAAGTTTTCCTCTCGAGGTCCGAAATTTTCAATCTCTGATGTTGGATCATCTTTCTCTGTTGATCAGGTGATTTATACCGTTGCTAATGAGGGATCTAGGCTAGAGATTCCTGAGGGGCCGCTGGGCAGGCTGATTTCAGGTCTCTGCAACTGCCAAAATATTTATGATCCTTTTATTTTTCGCGTTTCATCATACCACGATGGCTGAATTTAGACCTGTCGGCTGATCGCCATTTTAAATGTTTTTTCCTCCCTCATGTGCAGATTGCTGGACAGAACCTCATAAGCGGCCAAGTTGTGAAGACATCCTTTCTCGTCTGCTTGACTGCGAATACTCTCTGTGCTAATACTACATCCTTTTATCTTTGTACATAAAAACTTTTGGTAGAGTTGTCACCTTGCGCGGTGGCGGACGCACGTTAACGTAAGGGGGGGGCATAATCTCTGAAAATGCCATGTTGGTGAGAGAAATTTATATAAGGCTCCCCCATTCTCTGCAAGTTTGAACCTACTGTAATGAAAAATTTGAAGAAACACAATGATAGAGAAAGTATATTCGAGAATTGGAGCTGACAGACGAAGCATTTTAGATTCTTTCAAAAGCTTTATACTTCAATAATGGGTTCCACATTAAGTTTCCATGCAAGAAATGAGAGACTATTAGTTTCAGATTATAATGTTTGAAGAAGAACAGTGTAGGAGAGAGGGATTGCGTGAGAAAGAAAGAGGTGAGAAAGAGAGATGTGAAATAAAGAGCGATTTTTTTTTTTTAAATAAAACACATAGAAGGACAAGACAGTAAATGAGAGGAGAGAGATCATGGGAACTTGAAACTAGAGTAAATGGAGAGAATGGGATAGCTAAGGCTTGAGTGACATTGTGTGTGTGTGTGTGTGTGTGTTTTAATGAAATTATTTAATTTAATGTATTTGTTTAATTTGTAAGTATGAGTTCATGATCATTTACTCCGTTGTTTATAGTTAGTTAAAAGGGGATAAAAATGATTTAGTGTATAAAGGTTTTATATTTTTAGAACTTTTAAATGAAAAATATAATTTTTAATAAAATTTTAAGGTACTTAATATAACATTTAAATATACTTTTTAAGTAATGATAATAATAATTAAAATATAAATATTGCCCCTATTGAGCTTAGGTCCTCCGTTCGCCACTGACCTGGCGAGGCACCCTCGGCTGATGCTGCTGCAGATTACTATTGTGATTTTTTCATCCATCACCTGTCTTCGTTTTGAGCCATGAAAACTAGATGAATTCTGTTTCACTTCTCTGAGCAATGAAAATAGTCAAAATATTTCCGATCCGAGTTTTTAGATTCTGTCATTATTGGATGTTATATTGTTGACTTAAAAATGGGTGGTGACTTGTGTGAAACGCAGGCATGTTCAGCTAACTCCCTGGTCCCAGCATTGCCCTTTTTAGAGAAAGATCTCATCATTTGTTCAGGCGCTGTGCTATGAATAGACATTTTTCCCCCGCCATCACACATTCTTGTCTTCTCTGTTCAGGGTGGATAACGGACATCCTCTTTTTTACGGATCATTTTACGAAGTTCAGAGACCATATTCTCCCAGACGCCGATATCTATAGGAAGTATTAGTATACATAGCGAACTATGATTTACCTTGATGCACATTGCATGAGGGATTAAAAAAAAAAAATTCCTTAAGACTATTTCGGGTCATGATCTTGGGCAAGTTGGACCAAGTGGTCTTTTAGGTTGTGGTCGTGAAGGGGGAAAAAAAATATATATATATATATATATAGAGAACTCCTTCGTCCTTCCAGAAACGGTCAATCGCGTTAACTAGTTTCAAAGCCCAAGATCAAGAGCCCAGCCCATTAAGATGAAATTTCAAAATGGGCTTGGCCCATAAGCCGACTAGCATTGCTAGGCAAAATTTCGATCAAAAATCCAAAAAAGGGAGTTTCCCGCACGGCGATCGGCTATCATCGTACATTGGCGCTGGCAAGTTTCCGAGTTGGAGTCACCATATTGTCTGACCTGAGAACCATTTCTTCCTTTCAACGCCGGCAGTACTTGCTAAAAGCATAACCGCACCGCTTGTGCTTCTCCAATTATACTCCGCCACCTCAGTACTGCGTCCCTCATGGACTCCCTCACGGGAGCTCCGTCGCCCACCTCTACTGCTCCGTCCCGGTCGTCGCCATTTCCCGGACGGGAAGACTGCTGGGGTGAGGACGCCACCTTCACTCTCATCGATGCTTGGGGCGAACATCACCTCGAGCTCAATCGAGGGAACCTCCGTCAGAAGCACTGGCAAGAGGTCGCCGACGCTGTTAACGCCAATCACGGCCACGTCAAGAAGGCGCGCCGAACTGACGTCCAGTGCAAGAACCGCATCGACACTCTGAAGAAGAAGTACAAGATCGAGAAGAACAAGGTCATCGATTTCGACGGGAACTACACTAGCCCTTGGCCCTTCTTCGCCCGCCTTGACGCTCTAATCGGCGATACCTTTCCAGTTAAGAGACTTCCTCCGGCGATTGACAGTGGCCGCCGTAGCTCCCCTCCCGCTAAGTCTCCGGCCTGGGTAATCTCGCATGTGCCGGTCGGCCCCCGATCCGCTACTCAAAAACGGCCGTCGTTACCGGCCACGGCACCGGTGAGCATGAAAGATTCATCTTTTCGCCGGAACTTCTCAGCTTTCGCAGCGGCAGCTGCAGCTGCGGCCGAAGCAGGGGATGCAGGTAGTGACGATTCGGATGAATCGAGGTCAAGTAGTGCCAGTGAAAGTAGGAAGAGAGGAAGAGAAAGAGAAAGAAAGAGGGAAAGCGATAGAGATTTAGAATTCGGATACAGAGAGCTGGCACAAGCAATAGAGAGGTTCGGGGAGATATACGAGCGAGTAGAGGCGGCGAAGCAAAGGCAAATGGTGGAGTTAGAGAAACAGAGGATGCAATTTGCTAAGGATTTGGAGTACCAACGGATGGAGCTTTTCATGGAAACGCAGGTCCAGCTTCAAAAAATCAAGCGCGCCAAGCGATCTTCTCAGGCTGGTGAGTCTTATCACTAGAGCCATCACTGCAAATGCTACAGCGCGCCTTTTTGCTTAGTTCTTCTAATTTCATGTTACTGTTATGTCAGCTTAGACCCCCTTAAATGTGGCTTCAATTTGATGCTTGAACTCTATACTAAACTGGTGTCTTGGGTTCGTGCTGTTGTTTGTGGTTTGCCGCGTGGGAAATAAGAATTCTTCAGTGACTTTAAGTAATGCGTATTGGTATAGGAAAGAAAGTGGGAACTTGATAGCAATATCATTTTGCTATAGGCGTTCATTTCGGAATTACTTAAGTTGTGATGGGGGTGTTTTAGTTATAGAGATATTAGATCAATTTGATATCATTTGGTTCCTAATTTTTCATCTAATTTCTTTCCTAATTTTCATCAAATTTCTGATGGAAAATGCATTTCTTGGGTATGTTAGCTCTGTGTTGGTGTTTGAGTCATCGCTTAGTTTGATGTAGTGAACAAACATAAATACTTAATACTATTTGGAAATCACTTGGCAGATTATCTCATATCTTTTGATCCTTTGTCATGTTAAATATTTTTCATTTTACATGTCTTTTGATATTTGCATAAATTTTTTTAATGTAAACTATTTTAGTTTAATCAAATATGTTGTCTAGTTCAATCAAGTTGACCCTTGTGTTGTGATGTGCTAAAAATTGGTTTCATGTCTCTCGTTCGTTCTCTAGTATTGATATAGATTGAGAGATTCAAGTAGCCTTCACTCACAATTCATAAGTACCTCTTACTTGGATCATGAGGGTCTGCTCCAGTTGTACTGATTGCTTCGCCCATCTTGTATGCTACCTTGAACTTAGATTTCCCCCGCTTTTTGGCTTCTGAAATGAATGAATTGTGGCATGCCAGCATGCCAAAATGTAGCTCTACATTCTACTGTATGGGTCATACTTGACTAACCATTGGCTAGGAAACGTTCAAACTGTTCTTTACTTAGATCTTATTCAAGAAACAAGATCTTTGTTATATTGTGCTCCAATCTACCCTCCTGTAATTTAGAATGAAGATTTTATTTTTTGACATATAGTAATCTGGTGGGCACTGGGCAGTAAGCTTATAGTTTGGTGTTACTTCTTGGTTGAAGGCCATGATTTTACCAAAATTGTCCAATTTTAGTGACATGGAATCAGATGGTTGCTAATTTAGTGCCACAAGTGATTGAATACAAAGTCAGCCAAATGTAAATTCGTCAATATCTATTGCTAAAAATGGGTCATTCCATAAACACAAACATGTTTTAATGGTTATATATATTACACATAGAATATACACCATCTCCTCATGAAGAAAATGAGTTTTTAGGGATAAAAATGCACAATTTAGTATGTTAATAGCATATTTTTTAACGGGGCACAACGGCACATGGTGGAGCAGTGTCTTGTATGCAACACTTTGGTGTTTAAGTATTGATATGGCACACTTTTGCATTTACAACTTGGACCATTTTTGTTGGTGCATCTTGTAATAGGACACCGGCACATCAGTAAAGGCAGAAGCTAGTTCATGTCTCTTATGCTTAATATTTCTCCTCTTTCACTCTCCTTTTCATTCTCATCTCTTCTTCTTGGTTCTTTCCAATCCTAGTTGGATTTGATGATCATTATTCTTGCTCTAGCTCACAAGCACTCTACTACATACTAGATTATTTCTAAACTTTGCTTTCTAACCTTTTGTCAGTAGCTTAAGATTAGATATTTGGCTCTCCTTCACCGTTCATGATTAGACAAGTTAAACAATGTTGCAGTCGCATTAGATTTCTCCGGTGTGTTCTACATTTTGACACACCCCTAAAAAAATTGTGTAATTTTTTGTCTCATGTGCACTTGTCTCAAAGTTTGAGTGCCCATGCGTATTGATGTTTTCATATGCACGTTGTCTATAAAATGATTCAACTTGTAGTCGGTGCTAAAAATGAATTGTTCCTTAGTTTCATGTAATTTTCATTTTCTGTTAAGGACTTGGTGATAAATGCAAATTAGGAGCACGCACACTGTTTCTATCTATTTATTACTCATGCATGTCTACGTCCTTCCCATTGTTACTTTAAACACTTTTGAACGATAGTTAAGTCCTTGTTTGTTTGTACTAATTCCTAAACTTCCATCCTTAAGCCATAAATAGAAGGTAGGTAGGACCTTTAAAATTATACACAATATATGCCCATGTTTGTGAGATATCAAATATTGAATCAGAGAGATGGCACTTCTTTATTGATTTTTTGCCCCCAAAAAGTTATTATCAAAATACCTTAAATCAAGTAAGTTCTTAAGAATACGCCAGTAACCTTGAGTATGTACCCTAATTTCTCTGTGGACTGAACATTTGGAATTGATTGCATTATTATGAGTGTTCTTGTCTTTGCATTATTATCATACAATTATGAGCGATAGGAGATTTAACTTACTTTTATTCATCTAATTTTTTTGTTTTGATTTTGCTCTTAACAGACAGTTGCTCATAATAAGCGGCGATGGAGAATCCTGCAGTGGGGAA